TGCTAGTTTCAAATTGACATGAATATTAATTTAGATTATAATTTTTCTTTACATCGATAAAATAAATAGAGANTTATAATTTTTATTTACATCGATAAAATAAATAGAGAAATTATTTGTTTATTTCAATTGAGATCGTAAACTCAAATCAAGAAAAAAAATTAATTCTCAAACATGGAGTAAAATTCTCGATTTAGAGTTAATAGAATTAATTAAGATTAACAAAATGTAATTTTTAGAATTATCACAATATAATTCAAGAAAAAGAATAACGTCGTTTTCGTGTGTATGGTATTTTATTCTTCAAATTTTTTAATGTTTGAACAGTTAAATTCAATGAGAAAAGTTCAGTAACCATTCGAAAGCATTTTACAGTTCAGTGAGAAAGCATGAATGACATATAAGTTCAGCAATTAATGGAACATGGTGAGCGAGCCACGAAATGCAAAATGTTAAATTTCAATGACCTCTCGAAAGTATTTTTAAAGTTCAATGACTAATGAAACAAGATAAGTGAGTGATATAGTGCAATATTTTAAAATTCAATGACCACTTTGAAGCATTTTAAAATTCAAGTAAAAGTTATTATTTTTTGAAAAGGTTATACAGATAAAAGAAAGACATGCCTAATAACAATTTCGAAAAGCTATCTTTTTCAAATGACAGAAGATACTAGCAAGAATGCTTCTTGTTATTTTTCAGTTAGAAAAAATGAAAATAAGCAGGGATGCCAATTTTTCGATTACTTGGGGAGCAGGACACGAAAAGATATAAAATCCCCACCCTGGTTCGGGATGGGGTCTCCATTGTCATTTCTAAAATAAGAGATAAAAATAGAAAAAATAAAAGTGCTATAGAAATTTATTGCGGTGTTTAGCAATTAAGCCCCTCTTTGACAACCATACTGTTGAAAAATAGAGTTTTGAATATTGATTTTTAAAAGAATGTGCAGTTAAAAAGTATAAAAAATTTTCGAATTTATATACAAAATATTTTATTGTATAAATACTGATTAAAAATGAGTACGTAGGAAAAAGAATTTGAAAAATAGGATTGTCAAACAGCCGAGTACAACTTTTAGAATACTTTTCAGCTCAGTATAAATTGTACTTATACATGAGTTGTCAAATGTATCTCAAGAAGCGATTCATCCAAAACCATTTTATATAAAATTTGCAAGATATCTTGGTGCGGAAGCGTTTATGAAATTTTTGTAATAAAAATTTAAAAAATAATTATATTGAAATAATCTTACTTTTTATTAATATATGATTGATTGTTGAAAAAGTGTACAATGCATTTATGTTTATAGGCAAAATTATTCTCTAATCCTATTAATATAAGGAAATTGAAATAAAGAAACTAATAAAATCCTAATTTTAAAGGAATTAGAAATCATATTCTAATTAGAAATAAAAATAAAAACATAAAACATATTACAATTAGAAAAGAAAATTAGAAAAAATAAATCACAATTGTAGTAGGAAACTATTAATCATAATTATGTACTACATCAATATCCTCCATTGAATAAAACTCGTCCTCAAGTTTTGTTGAAGAAAAAATCATTTCATCAGGGAGAAAATACTCAAGAAATTCTATCAATACTAATTTTGAAGAAATTTCAATTTCTTGATATGCACAATAAATGTCGTTATATTATTCAGTTGCATTCTTTAAAATCAACTTTGTTCGCATCATACTTGTTGTATTTTCTTCACGGTTAATTTGTGGATGACATTCCTTCGTAAGCGAAACACAATTCGATTTCTCATCATTGAGTTCGCTCTCGATAGAGGTCACTGTTGCTATTTTCAATTCTTCATACTTCTCACCTTCTGCTATAATATTTAGTGAAACTTTCTTCAACACAAAAGAACTTATACGTGGACTCAAATCCTCATCGTCCATGTTTTTCTTACTTTTATGCAATTCCTTGACACTAAAGTTGTAGAAAATGTCGATAAAATTTTTATTCTCAATTTGACAATCTTCACATTTGACTCATTTGTGGTTGAAAAGTTTAATTTCTTCTTCTCCTGTTGGACCCTTCCAATCTTCAACTTGTTCATCCTTTGAGTGCGACTCGATCTTAAGGTTTTCAGTTGTGATTTCATTGAAGTGTTTTTCATCCCTACGCTTATTTTTATTGTCAATTTTCATGCACAAGGGATCCATGGGTTTTGAGTTTTCAACTTGCATGTGTTTTTCATTTTTTATTGTAGTATCAGTGACGATAAACTCCCGATTATCTTGAATTACATATTTTTTAACCTCATCTACCTCTTGGATCTTTTTTCTCTTTATTTACACCAGTACTCACAAATTGCTCGTCACATGATATCAAAATAATCTTCTTATTGTACCACCTAAACACGTACATATTATCTCAACCTATGTAAGTGACATCTACATCGTAGTACCATGATTTTCCCCAAAATACATGACAATCGTCCATATCTACCATGTTACATATAATCTCATTTTTGTAGTATTTTCATATAGAAAGTGAAATTTCGAATACTTCCATATTTTTAAAATTTGTCTTTGTGAAGTTTGATAACAAGATGAATATGTTTTTGTTGATCTCAAAAAACGAACTCAACAGATATCGGGTTCACTCGTGCATGCGTAAGCCATATCCAGCACGTTAAGGTAGATCTACGGTCGAGATCGCTCCAAAGAGTGGATGTGGGAGAAACTCACAACAAGAGACGTTTCCGTTCAGGGTCCAACAAGATTTACAGAATAAGATTGTATAATGATCAATCAACAAGAGCAAGACTTGTTTTTGTAATAGACTGATAAGAGGATAAGATATGTTGCTTTGAGTATTTAAAGTTTCATTAGTCTTCAATTGTTACATTGTGGGGGAATTTATAATATTACAAATGAAATACCACATTTGGATCAAATTACACGTGACCTCATCTCCTCGATCGAAACATTAGATCTTAGCCATCAAGTTGACATTCCTAGCTTTTCAAAGCATCTAGTGCTCTTACATTGACAAGACATGACATAAATACACTTTTCACAAAGGTCACATCAATCATTTGAATAAAAATCTTCATCATGAGCAAATCCTCGCACGTGGGCCATCACGAGTCGGGGAGCCTCGGATCCAGGGGGTACCTCAGAAGTAATTGGGCATCGACTGATAATAGGGCCACGATCTACATAGAAAGAGACAAGGCGGTTGGGTTGGATCGGGTCCCGCAGCTTAATCACGGTGGCCACGTGATAGTCCCTAGTAACGAGTCATGACAGTTTCAGTTTTCAAATTTAAAGTTTTCATCAATGCATTGAACACCAAGTTCTCACTGTTCCTATGATTTATTATCACTTTGCATGATTTATTGTTGATGGCGTATCGTGTTCTAAAAATCTTCTTGCATTTCAAATTGGACTATTTTATATATTCTCGATAAACATTCATAGAATCCTTAATAACTTACATGTATTCATACTTAGTCGAGACTCGTGGAAACTCTCCAGCCACCTGTTGTCTTTTTTAAATTTTGTTGAAGCAACCAACATTCATAGTAGTTAAAGTTTTAAATTCTTGTGAGCTTACTTTTCTATAGGCTCGTTGTTCTTTCAAAACTCAATGTAGTCAGCATCCGTGTAATGTTTTGAAGGGTTTTATCGATCCTCTCAATTCGTGTTCGAATTTGTCGAGCATCCATTCATCGTCAGCGATTTAACTACCACCAGGACCATTGACATTGATTAAGGCAATTTCTTTACTCTTATACCAATTTTGGTACGAAAGCGTTTATAAAATTCTTGTAATAAAAATTGAAAATAAAAATTATATTGGAATAATCTTGGTTTGTATTGATATATGATTGATTGTTGAAAAAATGTATAATGCTTTTATATTTATATGCAAAATTATTTTTAATCCTATTAATATAAGGAAACTGTAGTAAAGAAACTAATAAAATCCTAATTTTAAAGGAATTAGATATCCTATTCTAATTAATAAAGAAAATAAAAATCTTATCCTGATTCGAAATAAGAATAAAATGATAAAATATATTACAACTATAAAAGAAAATCAGAAAAAATAAAATACAACTAGAAAAGATAAATCACAATTGTAGTAGGAAACTACTAATCATGATTATGTACAATATCATATCTCTATTCTTTGATTTTGAAAATAAGCAAAATATTCTTTGATTCTGAAAACAAACGAAATATTTAATTCTTAGCCCTTGTTTAGGTTCCATTATTTGAAAAATGCACTTTTCCTTTTTTTTATTTTCAATCACATATCATTTAGTGGGTGGTCGGTTGAAATTAAAATTAGATTTTTAGTAGATTGTGATGGAGGTTTTTGAAATGTGTGGTTGAAAAATTGTGGGATCCATGAAATATGTGGTTAATATTGATTATTTGACGTAGATTAAAATCTGATTTTAATCCGAAACAAATAAGGCCTTAATAAAATAATATTACGCGTAAATTTCAAAATTTTTCTTATATTTTAATCATACATTTAAAAAAAAAAACTATTTCAGAATACATGTATTTTCAAAATTTGTTTTTAATTGAGTCAAACAGGGGCTTAAGAATGATGTTCTGTATTGTTCCCCTCTCATTCGACGAACCAAAACTCCACAGTTGTATGTTGTAAAGTAATATTATCGCTTGTATAGGGGCAGTGTAGTCATCGTAACAAATTCCCAGCAGCACCTACCAAATCGTGAAGTCTATCCCCCTCTCTCTCTCACACACACAGTTCTAGAGAGAGAAAAGGACGAAAGACATACCCAACCCTTACCTTGTCCCATTTAGAAACCCCTTCAAGCAAACACCATGTGCATATGTATAGATACATGTATTGTATAACGTATACATACAAATCACAGTTCTTCAACGTCTAATTTAGCCTAATTGAAATTAACATCTTCGTCGGGCTCAATTTTCAAGCTAAAGGGAAAAATTATTGTACAAGAGCAGTATCGGTAGAGTAACTGTTTTAAGGAAGAATGGGAGTACCGGCTTTTTACAGGTGGCTTGCAGATCGGTACCCGCTCTGTATTGTGGACGTGGCTGAGGAAGAGCCCAGGGAGGATAAAAATGGGGTGTCAATACCTGTTGATTTATCTAAGCCTAATCCTAATGGCGTAGAGTTTGATAATTTGTATTTGGATATGAATGGTATTATTCATCCCTGTTTTCACCCTGAAGGCAAGGTGAACTTTTTCTTTTTTCTTCTGTTTTTCGATAATTGGTTTTTCATCACATTTCCTCAATATTGGGTTGTAGTAGATGTAATTATCTGTACTGGCTATTTTGGTGGTTTTGTAAATTGTGATGTGATTAAGGAGTTCGTGCGATGTTTATGTAGAATTGTTTTTTGGAAGAAAGTAGTGTTAGAGAACCGGTCGTTTACCTTGTGTCTATACATAAGCTACACGGCTTAAAAAGTGCAGAAAAATACAAATATATGCATTGTTTTTTATGCCCTTCTTAATCAGTTCTGAAAGGGTTCCCTCATGCTGGAGGGAACACCTAAATTCAATGGACTCCGATGGGGGACATCAGATATGTTGGAGGGAACGCCTAAATTCAATTGATTTATACAACGTATGATATTTAGAAGAAAATAAGCGTTGAATACTTCTTTGCCTCATGTCTTCTGAAACTCTAGTTGTCAAGAATATCATATCTAAACCTCTCGAGCTTGCTGTGGGTCCTTAGCCTGTTTGAATTGACTGAATCAGGAACTAGTATAAAGGGTGCATCGTTAAGTAGAAAGTGGAAAAGGTAAAGTGAGATGAAGCTCTGAGAGAAAACCAAAAGGTTGCATTTCTGAGAATCTAAACGTATTTAATAATTACTTATTAGTATCAGTTCCAAATATATATACTGGAGCATTACCGAGGATTAATAGAAAGGTAAGTAACCAAACAGCAATGCTAAGTGACACGTATAATAGCTGATGTGGCTAGTGACATGGCTGGTGCTTCAGTCAACAATTTGAACTTCAAGGTCAATCGTCTTCTCTAACAAGAAGCAAACACCCTCATAAAGTTTTCAGAGACATTCATTGAAGATCCCAAGTTTTAACATTTTGAATATGATGTATAATCAATGAACCTCATGGTCTGGATGTCAAGTAAAATGTACAATCAATTTTTGTGCTTTTGAGTTGCTTCCTATTAGATTGTTTTCGTGTATTTTAGATGAACCTACTGCATGGCCAGGCATTGAGTGCATTATGGTTCTTCTGCTGTCAATTATACTAACCTTTTTAGATGTTCAGCTTGAACAAGTATTGGTTCAAATGGTTCTTCCTATATAGTACAGGAAAAGAATTTGTCGATGTCCAAAAATAGTTCTTTTTTCTTTTCAATACTTGGTTTTGACACGGCGTATGAAATTGTTCTTTGAAAGTTTTTGGTGTCCCCTCCTGTCAAGAATTGGGACCTCACAAGCACTAGCTAATAGGCTTTTCTCTCATGCCTTTCTTCGTCCATGGTTCAATATTTTGGTGTCCTAGGCATAAAGGAACCACGCCAATCTTTTGGTCTTTTTGGAACCAGTGGTTATACATTCATGAAAGTTATATGTATGTTGGATGAATGTTAAATTAAGTATGCTAATTTTACTTTTCTCCGTCTCTCAAACAATGGTTTTTATGTTCTGAAACACATGACATTTGTTCTTTTGAATGCAGCCTGCACCTACCACGTATCATGATGTATTTAAATCAATATTTGATTACATTGACCACGTTTTCTCTTTAGTTCGCCCACGAAAGCTCCTTTTCTTGGCAATTGGTATGCTGTTCCTTATAGCATTTTCACTTCTTCTTTTCCAAGAAGAATCAAACTTAGCTTTAACCATTTTCCTTCTTGCAGATGGAGTGGCTCCTAGAGCTAAAATGAACCAGCAAAGGTCTCGTCGTTTCAGGGCTGCGAAAGACGCTGCAGCGGCTGTATGGGTGTTATCTATCTCAAAAAATTCATAGTAATTGAAAGTAAACTTCTTGACGGCCATGATAGCATTGTAGAACTTTTTGTTTCTTATTGTCTCATATCAGGAAGCTGAAGAAGAAAGATTGAGGCAAGAGTTTGAACTTGAGGGGGCAAATTTGTTGCGTAAAGAGAAGCCCGAAACATCTGATTCTAATGTCATCACCCCTGGCACTGAATTTATGGCAGTGCTTTCTGTGGCCCTTCAATATTATATACAATGTAGGTTGAACCGCAATCCCGGCTGGCGCTTTACAAAGGTTTGATTAGCCACTCTCACTATGTTTTAGGATTCTACGAGTCTATCATGTTTAATCTTTTCTGCTCTTTCTTATCACATTTCTGGTTTCACAAAAGGATCACTCTCTTAATTTATCTATCTGGCTGCATTGGGTGGTTATTTGAAGGTTATCCTGTCTGATGCTAATGTTCCTGGTGAGGGAGAGCACAAAATTATGTCCTACATTCGATTACAACGGAATCTTCCTGGCTTTGATCCAAATACCAGGCACTGTTTATATGGTCTGGTGAGTGCAAAAATAAAAATATCACCGTTTCTATAGTTAAATTGTTATTCTCGATGTTCTTCCTATTTTGGTCGACTATTTTTTGTTTCAAGACAATTTGGTTTGTGTGTATTTGTACTGCATGTCCTAAATAACATACATTTGTTTTTTCCTAATAGGATGCAGATCTGATCATGTTATCTCTAGCTACACATGAAGTCCATTTCTCAATATTGAGGGAGGTCAATAGCTACAACTTTTGAACTCTATTTCTGTACAAAGCTCTTTTTTTTTTCCCCCGAGTGATGAAGTATGCTTTGTTGTTTCTTATGCTGTAGGTGATCACTCTGCCCGGCCAGCAGGAAAAATGCTTTCTCTGTGGTCAAGCTGGTCATTTGGCTGCGGAATGTCGGGGGGACCAATCTCACGATGCAAATGGGAAGTTGTTAAATGACATTCCCATTCATAAGAAGAAGTATCAGGTTAAAAACTTACAGCCATGAGTTGATGATCAATATGTTGTTTACTTTTATCTGCCTCGTTCACTTTTATTTCTTTTACAACTCTTCTTTTGATATATCTTTATTTTGTTGGTAGTTTCTCAACATCTGGGTACTGCGAGAATATTTGAGATATGATATGGAGATTCAGAACCCTCCATTTAAGATTAACTTTGAAAGGCTGGTGGACGACTTTGTGTTTTTATGTTTTTTTGTTGGCAACGATTTTCTTCCTCATATGCCTACCTTAGAAATTAGAGAGGTATGTGCAAAGTTCGAAAATTTCTTTGATGTTTTATGGATATTGGCATACCTGATGAAAAATATATTTTATATGTACTGACATGCATTTCAGTCTCAGGCAATCATGAGTTTTTATTTGTAACTATAACCATCTCTAGATATATTATTACTTGGGAATTTTCATCTTTTCGAATTGAAACATCCATTTGTTCCACAAATATCATGTTTTCACTTTCATCTGTTTCAATGATGTAGGGTGCCATTAATTTGCTCATGTTTGTTTATAAAAGGGAATTCACAGCCTTGGGTGGTTATCTTATTGATGCGGGTGAGGTAATCTTCTTCAGCATTACACCTGAGCTTGATTCAGCAAGACATGCAATTCTCATCATGAACAATGGTGTATAGGATTTTGTCCTAGCATTCTCGAGATTAAAGAATACGTGTGTGCCTGTCAAATAAGTTCTTGCCTCACGATACATGCTGCATGTTTGGGTGGGCAATGGTTTTACATTTTCTAGATTTGTGAAAGATATATGTTTGGATCACATTATTTATGATGCCAAGGACTAGACCGAAACCTTTTCCTCACAATATGGATTTTCCTAGAATAAGAGGTTCTAAAAATACGGTATGCTGTTCTGAAGTAAAATTTTGGCATGAAAATGACCTTAGTGGCCCTCCTCCATCCCACTCTGTCCCCACAATAAATAAACCCTCATAAAAATGAAGAGGAAGTTGAATAAGTAACTAGAAGTAGTGCTTCTATACAGTGAAGCCTTAGTACACTTAAAGACTGACTATACCGCTTTGAGCTCTACTGAATCAAATGGCTTTTTTAGTTGAAGGCAATCCCATTTGATTTTACATTACGATGAACAATGGTGAAGATCTAGAGATGCTTTTGCATGAATGTTTTTTTGAAAGTTACTACCCAAATGTCTTATTCATTGAATCCCTTTTTTATGATTATGAAGGTTAAACTTCGGTAATTTCTTGTTGCCTCTGCTTTTGTTTTCCTACATGTCAGGTTTTCCTAGATCGAGTAGAGCGCTTTGCTCAAGCAGTTTCCATCTATGAAGATCAAATCTTTCAAAAGCGAACTCGAATACAGCAGGTAGTCTCATTTTTCACTCTTTTCCTGGCCTTTTTTATACATTTGAGAACACCTTTAGCTTTAGCAGCTGCTTAAAATGATTGCCTGATTCTACATATTTCACTGCTTCCGGTGAAAATTAACTTGTTCATATGTTAATTTTTTGAACCATGAATGTTTTCTTGTTGGTTTTGATCCATATGCAGCTCTTTTCAGTTTTCAATAACTTCTTGTTGGTGCTGTGACATTTTCCTTTTCTTTTTAATCTTTTTCTTTTTCTGCATCAGGCATATGAGAATAATGAAGAGATGAAACTTAAAGCAAGAGGAGAAGTTAATGTAGAGCCACGGGCATCAGCAACTGACAAGGTGGTTCCTCTCTTTACGATGCAACTCAATGCTAAAATTAGTCAACTCTTCATTACTTGAGATTGTGAAGTCAAATGGCTGGTGTAATATTTGTGTTCATCAGATATCATAGAAATATGATCCGTTCCTAGTTCCTTAATTTTTAATAGCTGTATTTTTCGAAAGTTTTCTTTTTTCTCATTATCATTGTTAAAGCAGGCTGTTTTTTTAAATCTATTTCAGACACTCACCCACCCCACACGTGTATAAATATATGTGTGCATATATAATATAAACACACAGTGGATTACTGGATTATATTTGGTTTTTCGGATTTTTACTATTTTGGCTGACAATTGAAGTGACAACAAGGACTTTTTAATCCTTTTGCCTTGTCTGCTGGAGTCATTTTACCAGTGTATTCAAACCTTTTTCTTGATATGCCAATGTACTTAACAATTTTTTCTCAGTTATAGATCTGGCTAAGAATTTTATCTTGTCAGGTGAAACTGGGGGAGCCTGGGTACAAAGAAAGGTATTATTCTGAGAAATTTGGTATATCAGAGCCGGAAAAGATTGATGAAGTTAGAATGGAAGTGGTAAGCATTTGCATCACGTGAAATGTAGGAATCTTGGTAGCATCCTTTTCAGCTTGCTTGGGTATCTTGTTATGTCATTCTATTTACCAAAACTCGATATTATTTTCTGCTTCCAGAGTCTCTGAGTAAAAAGATCTATTGCTTTATGGGCTACTATTAGTATTAGCAACACACACGAACACAACATGTACTTTACTGCTTGAGTTCATGCTGGTCTACTTTTGTCCTATCTAGCTGTCTAGATGGTCTAGTTTCTGACTTATTTTGTAAATATTTTTAATGTAAAGAAAAGATAGGAATAATGATGATGAAGGAAAGAGAAATGGAGGCAGATGAACTGGGAGGGGTCTAGAGTTTAAAACGAGAGAGGAAAATTTGTGCAGCAGTCTCTTTCTTGAGTAGAAAACATGCAAATCCTTGAATGTGGAAGTGCATACTACGATAACCCAATTGTCTGAATCTTGGGAGTCAAATTGAAATCTGATTGTGGTTTATAAATTGGAGTATAGTTGCTGTAAGATTCTAGTTTCTATTTTTCGTATGTAAGTGTCACTGTCCGCTTTTCTTGATTGTAACTGTTCTCTCTCTTTCTTCCCTGCTTTTATTATTGTTGCTTCCTTAATGCTTGCTTGAATATCATTTTGGATGTATGGAGTTGTCATTGTGAATAAGCAGACTATTTCCACTCTGGAAAAGATAGATATAAAGTTGTTGTTTCAGGTTTTAAAGTTCGTGGAAGGATTATGTTGGGTTTCCCGCTATTATTTCCAAGGTGTATGCTCCTGGCAATGGTGTGTATCATCTCTTCTTATCAAAAAAAAAAATTAGTAGATTCTTTTTCTTTGCCATTTCATATTCTGTTGCTGCTGGAGCCTGGACTCATTTATTGACTTTGTGACAACTTAACTGCAAAAAAATAGATCTGGAATTGAAGAAGCAGAAAAAATGTCCATTTGGGAGGACTTGTTGGAGAAGGAAAAAGTTTCCTGGGCTCTCAATGTTTTCATAAGTATGAAGAAATGTAAAAAATATAAAATATCAAAATCCTTTTTTCTTTGTGAAAGGGGGGATTGGGAAAGCTTATGTCAATATCACTGTTGCCAAATCAAATTTTGAAGTGCAAGATTGGTGTCATTTGCACAAGGTCAAGGAATTCGTGTTTTTTGATTCTTTGATTCCGAGCACTTAACTTGGGGATGCGAAAGCTGATGTCATCATCTCTTGCAATTTCAAACTTGAATCTGCTAGCTCGCTGCCTTTATACATTAATTTTAAAAAATTGATTTTTTTTATTGTTTCATGATAAAAAGTCCTAATTTTCTAGTAAATTTATATTTGATACTGAACTTTTAAGCTGTAAATCTTGATGCCTATGATGTTTGTTTCAGGTACTATCCGTATCATTATGCTCCATTCGCATCTGATCTTAAGGGCCTCTCTGATTTAGAGATACTGTTTTCTCCTGGGAAGCCATTTAAACCCCTTGATCAGCTTTTAGGAACCTTGCCTGCTGCAAGGTCTTTATTGTTCTTTCTGTTTTCAAGAGTTAAAACTCTTGAATTTGCCTTTGATTATTCCTTTTAGTTATCTGTATTGATTTTTGTGTGTATATATTTTTTTCTGGTTACCACAGTTCTAGTGCTCTCCCTCAAAAGTACAGGGGATTGATGACGGATCCTTCGTCCCCTATTTATGACTTCTACCCAACTGGTATAGTCACTTGTCTTCTAAAGCTCAACTATCTTTACGTCTTATCTTTTCTTTCCTTATATTTTCTCCAGAAATAATTTGTACCTCTCAAACATTGCTAGATTTTGAACTTGACATGAATGGAAAGCGTGCCGCATGGCAGGTAGTTTCTGCATTTAAACATGTTCAATGAGGTGAAGAGTGACATTATCCATCTCTATATAGATTTTACCTTTGTAAATGACCTTATCTTTCATTTTTGCCAAATGATAAGGGTGTTGCCAAATTACCATTCATTGATGAGAATAAATTGCTTGCGGAGACGAAGAAGCTTGAGGACACCTTGACGGTATGAAAATAGGCTTATTTTTTTGTCCCTTTTCCTTGTATGCTAGGAGCCTCTGTTAAGAATATATACTTTGTTACGCAAGCTTAGGTAATCACAGAGTTTTATGTTAGTAGATATGCTGCCTTCTGAATTTCTGAAATAAGCAGTAAGCTTGAAAAGCTAGTTATTCAACATTTGAATAAAAATCAAGGGTAATCTTTTACACTGAAAGGTTATATATATATATATATCACATTCAGAGTTGATATTGAAAATTGGCCTGACAAGGAGCTAGTGTAACCTGCTCACCCACAGAGAAGAGTTAAACTGAGCTCCTGGAATGAAAATACAAATGTATAATGAGCGATGTATATTATGAATTTGGCTGAGATGATTTTATGGAAAATAAGATGTACAAGGTTTACTTCACTGCAAACAGAAATGATAAATTCCCAGGCATTTGAGAGGCCTGAACTCTATTACTTGATTCCACACTACTCAATTGAATGAATCTCCCAGTTCTCCCCCTTATTACATTTATAGACACTCTAATATATTTCTATCCTCCTTTTACCCCTCTCTAACTAACTAGATGGAACACTCTAGATTATTGAATGAATAACAAACTTGTATTGGAGGTGGAGGTCTATCAGTTTGTTATGGTGGGGCCTTCTAACATAATGTTTCTCTAAAAGGTAAGATATGATCCTCGCAGTCACAGTCTTGGGGAACAGAACATCATTTGCTGATTAACTTGCCCTTATTTTGATTCTGAATTGAACTTTTTGTAGTAGGTGATTCATCCGTGCTCAGATATACCAAAATGCTTTCTCAACAAATTCCTCCCTTTTGTGTCAAGTGTTTATTACTTGTTTTGACTTTGGTTTAGAAAGCTACATTCTATTGGCTCTATGGGCGGACTTAACCCAGAGGGGATTGAATACATTAAGCATATATTCTGGGAGGTGTTTAAAAAGCTACAGAAATGAGTAGTACGAAATGTGTAAATAAAAAGTGATTTGACCAAAATGTTTTTTATTTTTAGTGTTTATAAACTATAAACACCTTCCCAAACATATGCTAAGTAACTTATGATGTTTTCAAAAACTTGTTCTCTATTTTTATCAATTCCAAAAACTTATCTTCTGATTTTTTAAGAAATAATCTTTGACAATGTAATAATAAATGTAGAAGTATAGAGAAGGCAATAAGAGAACACAGGGATCTTTGACGATGTAATAATAAATGTAGAAGTGTAGAGAAGGCAATAAGAGAACACCGGGATTTATAGTGGTTCAACTCTGAGTTGGTTGCAATACCAAATGTTAAAAACATCATCAATAACTAAGGTTCAAGCAGAAATACATCACTGTTACATCTACCCCAACTTACTTGGGTCTTTCAAAGGAGCTAGCAAGATACACAAATGTAAGTACCTCAGAATAAGAAGAAACTCGCTTTTACAGAATGTGCTCCCATCTCTGAGAGAACTGCTACTGTAAACTTCATATCACAAAGCTATGTATCAATCTTATAACAAAGCTTACAAAAGATATCTCTGCAAAAGTGTTCTTCTGATGATTACAAACACTAGAAAGTATAAGAGGTTATAAAACTTGTTCTTTTCCTTCTGCATCGAGAATCATTGTATTCTGCAATGTTTGGGTCATATCTTTCCCTTTTTCCTTCAAATACTCTGTAAATTGAAAACCTTCGTGGTCAATCTGAGGGCTGTTTTGTTTGGTAGTACTTAGATGATGGTTAATCCTTTTCTGATATTTGAAACCAAAAGAGTTGTGTTAAAGGTGGAATGTTTTTAGTCCGTATTTTATGCGGCTTAAACTGCTACAAGATGCTGAACAAAATCACACGTAAGTTACATCAAGATCTCATCTTGATGTACAGGGACTTGAGCTTAGTTTGCTGCATGATCAATATGTTCTTTACTTGAGAAAAGGGAGCAGAAGAAAAGCCGTGGCAATTCACATTTTTCTTTGTAGGAGGAAGAACAATTTCGGAATAGCGTGATGTTTGATTTACTATATGTCCATCCTCTTCATCCTTTGGCTGCCAAAATTACCTTGTATTATCATCTTTCTGACATAGAGAAGTCGCCATGGATAATTGATACGAATGCCAGGTTGGTTTATTCAGTCAATCTAGTTAACTTTCAGTTTTTAACTATGTTAATTAATTGTCTGCTTGCGTTTGGTGCATGATCTCTTCTTTGTTTTTCAACTTTGCCAGTGGTGGAATGAATGGATATTTTTGGTTGACCAAGCGGAATGGGTTGAAACAAGTAGTTCCTTCCCCAATCAATGAATTGGAAGACATTATGGATAATCAAGTTCTGTAAGTTTACACTATCCCTCAGCTGCCTACAGGAAAAGAAAAGGCGGAAGATAGTGTAGTATGTAATCTTTGAGTTCCTCAAGATAATGTATCATTCTTTTGCAGAAATGTTACCTATCTTTATCCAACTCCACATGTACACATCCCAGAGCCTCCTAAAGGTGCAGTCCTACCCGAAAAGGTATGTAGCATTTTTAGCTACTCGTATTATTTGTAACATTCTTTTTTTGAAGATGCAAGAGTAGATAAGGTTTTGGCCTTATTTAGCTAGCAATAATAATTTGCTCTTATGATGGTCATACCTAAATTGGGAATTTGGATCACTGTGCTATCACATAAAATAGTACTTCCTTCAACAGTGATAACCCTACCCAACCATGTCCATGTAGGGCTGCTTGGTTGTACTGGAGGGAATTTGTGGGGGGAAGAAATTACTAATTCTTATGTCTATCTTATGTTCCATTTTCTGCTAGAGTGGTGATTTTGGTTTTCTTTGAAGATGCATATTTGTATACAATAAAGTTTCTTTAGCTTTACTCTGATGTAGTCCGTTATACTTCACCTGCAGGTTGTGAGACCTACGGACATAAAACCGTTCCCCATACTATGGCACGAAGACAATGGTAGCAGGCGTATGCTAGGCAGAGACAGGTATTAGAATTTACACAGATAGTGTTGACTTACCAATTCCGGAATTTGATAGTAAATTGTTACCTTGCTTGAAAAATGTGATGGTGAGTTATTACGCTACAATGGAATTATAGCACTTCGTTGATTGCTTCTGTTTCACAGGCCACAAGCATCCGGCGCAATATCTGGTCCTACATTGGGAGGAGCTGCTTATCGTCTGGTTCATAACACACTGAACATTAAATCCAATCACACAGACTATGGAATTTCAGAGCAGGCAGCTTATCGCAATGCGAATGGCAACCGTGTAGCGAACAGACCGAGGCCAGCTGGACCGCCTGGCTACGAAAGGGGCTTTTCCAATGGAACATCTTATCATAATTCTTCAAACCATCAACAAAACAAGCCTAGAACATCTGGTCAATCTGGGTATGACCGGGGAGCTGGTCGAAATGTGGAAGGAAGAGGTTATTTGGATGATCCGAATTTTCTACATGGAAAGTTCAATCCTCGAGGACCAATGGAAGGTGCTAGATATGGTCTCTCCTCCAACAATGTACAAAACAGGCAAAATTTCAAGATGCAACCAAGTCAGGAGCTATATCATGATTTAAGAAATGGCATTTATAATTTGACTACAGAAGATGGTGACGGAACGAGGCCACCAAATTCAGGTCAAATACCAAATCCACATCAGCAACTCGCGCAAAACATGGGTCCAATTCCATCGCCACCTCCTAAATGGATTGGCAGACCTGCTGGAGGGAATGATGTGATGTATTTTTACCAACAACAGACTTTAACTGCTGCAGGAAATGAGAGACAATTGAAGAAGGTTTACCAGGTCAAAACCAAGGCACCACTGGATCCAGGACTCCAGCAGTGATGATATATATGTAGAGTGGTGTCCTTTCAGTTTATAATTAGGTCAGAAACAACCTGACTAACAAAGTTGACAGGTTCAGACTTGAGCAAATCCCACTCTAGGAACCTGCTCGAAGTTGGAAATGGAGATCTTGGGTACCAGTGGGCTGCTTGTGTATTGGTTTCTCTGGGAAAGTATATCATATGGAGTGATGGAGAAGTGTTGGAGAGTTTTAAGTCCAGCCTTCGTTTTACTATAATATTCCAGGGATACGATGCAATTATGCAGCAAAGACTTTTCAGGGATGTGGATTTCTATGTTTTTGGGTCCACACGTTTTATATAGACTCAATGTTGCAAAATCTATTCATGTAATGTTGGTTAACTTTTCTTGGAAACAGTGTAACAGTGGTTCCTTATTCTTTCCTTCTTACCCTTTTTTTCTGTCAAGGATTTTACTTTTTTAAGATTCCCTATGTTTTGATGTGAAATATTTACCTTAAAATTGTTTTCCAGGAATATTTTCCACTGTTACCTTTATGGAATGTAATGTTTTGCAGGTGACAGCGGTGGTGGGTTGTGGTAGTTGTCTACTTCGATACTGTCCAATTAAGCATAACTGCATAAGTGCTGCCTGCCTATGATTGTGTTTCCTTTCTTTATTTGCGTAGATTTTGATCAGACGTTTGTATTAATAAGCAAATCGTGACCATCAAGAAGGCCTATTTTCCAATTGTGTGTGATACGAGAAAGAACTTGTGGGCATGTTTGTCTAAGTTTGAATTATTTTTTTGTGAAATCTTGTTTTCATAAAAGGTTTAGGTAGGTTATTCTATCTTATTTGTAAGTAAATTAAAAAACTACATATTTTGATAACAAGGTAAGAATTTCTTTTTAAAATAAGAAATTTATATAAACATAAACTTAATTTATTTTAAAACAGAGTCAAGACACAACATTTCTCATTTCAAGAGAGACGATGAAGTGGGAGTGTGGGAGAAAAAAAATCAATAATAAATTTGTTAAAAGTATATTTTTGTCGTTCAGACAGATATTTACACTCGTTGAAGACCAAGAAGCTGCTCCAATAAAAGTATGGGCAAGTGCAAAGCGAGCCCTATCTAGAATTGGAAGATTTTCATCAAATGAAATACATATACCATACATGTACTTGTGTATTCGAGTGAAACTTGGCTCTCCTGAATACAGTTAGCAAGCCCGATTAGAAATTAAACAAAACCAACAAGAATGCGGGTATCGAGAACTTTCTCTCGTTTGTCCACCTATGTGATAACCACACGGTTACGAGAGAGCAAATAAGACACCGGGATATTGATGTTCATCCGAGTTTGGACAGTTCAATTTATAATTGGAAGAACCCAAAAATATGTTGTAAGAAAATGAAGATAATAATCCTAGATGCATCTCATAAAAAAATGACATGGAAAAAATTATCTACTGCTGCTGCAGCACCAGTACAGGGTATGCTCATTGTAATAAGAAGTGACTGCCTGACTGCCTAATCTTTGTGCATCTGAGCAGGCAAAGTTGATCATTTTGTCCCAAAATTCTACCTAGACACAAATTTGTATGAGAAATAGCCACAGATTGTCAAATTTAACTTGCAAAGATCAAACATTTCCAATGACACAATTATCAGAATTCTTGACCCTTGGATTGTGTTTGATATGCAGTATTACAAGTAGTAGATAGTATAAACAGACAAGATTCTACTTGCCTTTCTTCTTTAATATGGTCGAATACTATATGATAGTAACAATACAAACGCTTATGGCGTGTTTGGTGGGGAAGATTTCTTAACAATGGATAATATCGAGGAAGAAGGAAAAGCTGGAATCTTAATCCTGATGATAATGTATATTCTTGTCTATAGAGTTGCATACCAAACAGGAACTAAACCATTTCCGACGTACGTCTCAAAAGAAGCAGAGGACTCATTTCTCATGTATACTAACGATACAGATTCCCATTCACAGAAAAACAATGTTACGGCTCAAAAGATGAATAACTCTGTTTTGGGGTGGGAAAGAGTGTTCTTAAACCACTATCAAACTATACCAAATTTCAATATATTTCAACAGGTAATTAATTATTGAAGAAAATAACCAGACAAGAAGAAAACGAATCCCAGAAACAAACCACCATATATAAGCACAGCCTTTTGGCCAGAGGTTAGTGCATTACCACCAAGTCCAAATTGCTGATTCTCAGCAAAACCCGCGATCTCCACACTCTTACTCTCGAAGAAACTCTTGGAAGCCCCGCAAGTTGGGCACCTCCAGTCCTCAGGAAGCTTATCAAAAGGAAACCCAGGTGGAATTGGATATGAAGGGTCCCCTGTAGCTTGATCGTATCTGAACCCACAAGATCTACAATCATATATTCCCGTATTCAACACTGCAAATTTCTCCTCTAGCCTTCTTTTATCAAATTTCACCTCAGATTCCTCTGTTTCTGCATCCTGGGTTGTTTCTGAAATTGGTTGTTTGTCTTCTTTGGAGACATCAATTGACTTAACTACAGTGAAAATGGGATTTGGGTGTCTGTACAAAATGGGTTCAAATTTGAGGAATGTGGGCAGTGGTTTGAGTTTACGCACAGAGGAAGGAGATTTGGAAAGATTGAAAGTAAAGGAAGATCTGGTTATTGCCGACGCCATTGAAGGATTTTGTTGCGTTCTTCAGTTTTTCTTGAATGTTTTTGTTTTTTTTTTAAAGGAAAAGAATTTGCGATTCAGTTTTGTTTGGTTTGATTCTGTGGTTCTAACTGATTCAAGAAATGAAAAAGGGATCATCAAAGAGAGGAGATATGAATGGGGATTGGGGAGGAAGGATAAGGCGAAGTTTTAATTTTGAATAATGCAAAAATCTAATTTTATATTTAATTTTTGAATAATGCAAAATTTCTTCCTTTTATTATTAGTTAAATTTTCAAACTAGTGGTGAGAATTCAATTATGACTTAAGGGCATGTTCCATATGGCTTAAAAGACAATTAAAATTGAAAATATGACCGTTATTGAGTCACACTCGTCTAATAAAAGTCAACAATAACAGCTAATTTTTCAATTTTAATCTCTACCGAACACGTCATAAAAATAGTATGGAACTCAGGGTCCGTTTGATAAGTAAAGTTGGAAATTAATTTCAATTCTATGGTACTTAGAAAATAAAAATCTACCAAACTTATATGAATTCGTTTTCTATGAAACCAAGAAAATGCAGTTTAAAATGATTGTATTTTGAAATTTCATTTTCCATGCATCAAAAACATATCACAAATGCTTTTTATCTAGACAGGTGTTAATTACAAATAACACTAGTCTATTTGATTAGTCATTGGGAGTTGGTTAGCCAGCCAGCGGCACGTGGTGAACCATTGAACCCCAACCCTATCTTAGCCAGCCTAACACGCAACCAATAAAGACGCAATTTATGAACCCATTCAATTCCCCCACCCCAACCTAAACGCCTTACCTAACCACAACCCACCTTCTGGCCCCAACCCTAGTCAGAATCGAATCGCCCTCCACCGCTCCTCATGGCCTCCGCCCAAGACCCCAATAACGCCCTCTACAACGAAGATGAAGACCTTCTAGATGATGAAGATGATGACGACAGCTCTGACCACGGCGAAGATGTCTATCTGGAGGCTGACGTCGACGAGGATTCCGCATCCTCTTCTCCCGCTACTGCGTCTGTTGTTGATCGGCCTCCTGTTTCCATTTCCGCCGCTCAAGTCACCGTTGCCGTCGCTGATGTACCAGATTTTCGTGTGAACCAGCATCAGCACCACCACCAGCAACAACAGCAGCAGCATAATATTCCTGATGACGTCATAACTAGCGTCACCAGGAAGCCGCAGGCTATAGCCTTCCCCGACGAGTCACGGAAGCTGTTTCAGCGTCTCTGGACTGATGAGGATGAAATCGAGCTGTTGCAGGGGTTTCTGGAGTATACTACTCAGCGTGGGCCACAGAGTTCATCGCACCACCATGATACGACGGTGTTCTATGACCAGATCAAGGATAAGCTGCAGCTTGATTTCAATAAGAATCAGCTTGTGGAAAAGCTGAGGAGGCTCAAGAAGAAGTATCGAAACGTCATCAGTAAATCTGGTTCCGGCAAAGATCACGCCTTCAAGAGTCCCCACGATCAGGCAACCTTTGAAATCTCCAGTAAAATTTGGGGCGACAGTGTTGGAGTCAACGGCTCCGCCGTTCGTGCTGCCGCTATTGATGAGGCCAGGTTTGACGATAATGATCCTCACAACTCCAATTTTGTTGGCAATCAAAGCCCTAACCCGAACAACCCCAATGGCTTCGATGGAAATAGCAAGACGCCCCGATCCAGGAAGCGAAACCGAGCTGGAGCTGTGAAAGTCGAGGAAAAACAACATGCCTTTACAAGTAATACTCAAATTAATCAACCATCGGTGGGAGTGGGCGTGGTCACCCCAGTGGCTACTCCGATAGGCGTGGGGATGCCAGCATCAATAACTAACGTGATTGAGGAGACTGTGAGGAGCTGTTTGTCGCCCTTTTTCAAGGACTTGTTGGGAAATTCAATGAATTTGATTGGGAATGGATTGTATGGAAACCGTGGGTTTGGGTTGGCTTTGAGTCCCATGCCTTTGGGTTTTAGTGGAGGGACGGGTGGGGAGAGGTTCATTGATGAGAAATGGAGGAAACAGCAGATATTGGAATTAGAGGTGTTTTCAAAGAGGTTGGAGTTGGTGCAGGATCAGATTAAAGCACAGTTGGAGGAGCTCAGGTCCATGGGGAGTTAATGGACAGCTTTCTTGGGTAGAAGTGTTTGCTGGCTCTTTAATTTTCTTGACTCCTGGGTTAGTCCTATATTTATTCATTTGTCTTTGATAAATGAGAAAGTGCAGATTCTGTTTAGATTTTTAATTTGGGTTGCTGAATAATACTTCTTGTCGTTAGGCCTTTGATGAGTTGCATGTCTCCCCAAGTCCGTGATGATGGATATTGTTTCATATGTACATCGGAATTGACATGGAGCAGTAGTTTACTTATATAATTATATGCTATAATTGCCATCTGTTCTTCAAATTATGCATCAGTGAATGCATATTTCCTTTTTCGCTCGCTCTCTTCTCTCTGCAAACACTGCCGTTGTATGTAACTGCTGATATTTGGAGTCATCTCTCTTAATGCTTGGAGTTTTATGGTGTAACTATGGTCTTGATTGATACTCATTATTAAACTCTTTTTTTATTGGAGAATATGAAAATCTCACAAGGATATGCTTAATTGCATATATTTAAGATCAGATTATAGAAACATCCAGCTCTGATTGCGAAATTGTAAAGAGTTGCATAAGCTTGTTTAGCTCCAAGTTGAGAGCACGAAGTGACCTGATGTGGCAGTGATGCTTAGGTTAGAAGAGTTCTATATGGACAAACCCATGGTCAGTCAGGATGGCTACTAGTTCTGATGAAATGTTGGGAATTGGGATGCATTGTCAGAATCGAAGGGCATATACACTGTTGGAAACAAATTATATACCTAACTAGTTATGCCATTGCCTTGTTTTTCCCAGCTCCTTAATCTTACGAATTGTTTAGTCCTGCAGCCGTAGATGGATATATTTATATTTATCCATTATGCGTGTCTGTAGAATCAACTATCAAGGGTTCGGATCTGTTCCATTAAAGAAGTGAATAGAAGTTCCGCGTTCTTGGACTATGAGGTCAGAAGTGGTGATGGTGGTAGATTGGTGATTTTGATTATTAGCATATTTGCTTCAAATGGAAGCTGATTCAGTACATGGGACCAATGAGAACCAAAGCGAAACATGTCTTCCCTTCTCTTTATGAGCAGAGTTGTGAACCTTTGTGATGTAGAGAAACTGTGGTAGTCATTCAGGTTTAAGAATGATGCTGGTTCAGACTCAGCCTCCACTCGCTTTTCTTGTGTAACTTTTCTCAAAATTTTGAATACGTTCTACTTTTTTTTTATCCGTTCTTTCAGTTACCGGCATTGTATGAAAACTCAGTCCAAGTCAAAAACACGATAGATCAGAACGTAACCAGAGATATGAATTGGGGAAAAGCTCATTCGAGAACTTGATTTGTAGGGTTATGGTTTGTCAATTCAGTTAATGGAATGGAATTACCACCCCATATCATTTTGTCAAACGAAATGGTATGCATTGTGCTTATGTTATCTATCATGAAATAGGAAATTGTTGAACTTTTGAGTAGTTTGTTATTTAGCAACTAGCCCTAGTACAGCATTATCTCTAACTTTATACTCCACAAGGTAGAAATCTCTTTTGTATGATAATTTTGTTGGTTCTAATAAATTTTCTTTTTCTTTTTCTTGTAATAAAGCACTTTAAGAACATCTTATCATAATTCTTCAAACCATCAACAAAACAAGCCTAGAACATCTGGTCAATCTGGGTATGACCGGGGAGCTGGTCGAAATGTGGAAGGAAGAGGTTATTTGGATGATCCGAATTTTCTACATGGAAAGTTCAATCCTCGAGGACCAATGGAAGGTGCTAGATATGGTCTCTCCTCCAAGGATAGGCGATCTGTGTCCATCCTTCATATCACAAATTCCCATCTTCTACATTTACAAATTCTACGAGTCTCCGAGATCATGATTTTTAGAGTTACTTGTTATTCCTTTTGTTGTTTATTATTAAAATTTTGCCGCTTTAGTATGAGTTTCGAATAGTTAATCGTAACACGTTCGCACGTTAATAAGTGACATCACGTTTGAAATGACATCTTGCCATTGACTATTACAAACTCTGAAAGGGTGACAGCCAAATGGAGTTAGCAGATATCAACTCGTTATCCATGGCTTGGATTGTACGATGTTAAATATATTTCGAAAATATTTGGCAACCGTATTTGGCTTAAAAGTTTATTGTCCAATTTGAGATTGCAAGATTAATCGATTTAAAACATTTGTCGGATATGTTTGCTTCATTCCATAGCCCTCCAAAATGCAACAATATTGACAATTCAATTTTCTTTGTTGGAATTCTTCACAGAAATTAAAAAAAAATAGTTGAAGAGTAACTTTTTATTCCGATTCATCATATGCAGGGCGAGATAAGGTTTCGTGCCAAACTTATTCCAATTTCGAATATGTATAAATACACCAAATTGTTATGGATTTTCTTATTAAAAATACTTTATTACCTTTTTTTTCTAATTATTGTAATTTTAGCTACTCTTTTCCCTATCATTTTCATTATCTGTATTATATCAAGTAGTCAAGGGGAAGAAAGGTGATAAAAAGGAGATGTTCTCAAACCAGNCCCAAAAAAAAAATAAAAGAGAAAAAAAGTGAGGAAAATAACTAATCAATCCACTTAATATTTCCCAAAATCTCCACTTTGATTCCTATGAAAAACCACCATGTAGATCAACACCTTATGTTAGGGATAAAATACAGTTGAAATTTTGCTTTTGTTTTCTCAAATACCTGCTCTATTATGATGGCCTCTTTTGTCGTCAGCCATCTTGATCTCCAAGTGAGCTTTCTGGTAAAACCCGGTACCTCTCAAGGTGTCTGAAAAAAAAAAATCATCAAATTCAATGGCAATAGAAGCTTCAGCTTTGGTTCCATAGACCAACCTCTAGCAAAAAATAAAAATAAAACGAAGGAGCATAAATGGAAAAGAATTTCGTTTCAATGTTGAAACACACGCTTAACTTGTAAGACCAAGAGAAATAGGTCGAAAAGAAGAAACAAATAGATCACAGAACCTTTATTCTGGAAAGATGGATGGCGCCAAAGCACATGGGACATGGCTCACAAGATGCATATATCTCACAGTCTGATAGCTCAATTTTGTTGAACTTTTTACATGCCTGAAAGCCAATATTTAACTATGACTATGAGCATAAATTCTGTTTCAAAAAAAAAAAGAACACGAGATTATTGAATTATGTATGGCATAAACTCTATAAATTAAACAATCAAGACAGCAAGAGTTACATTAAGATAAATGCCAAAAGATATGTGCAAAATAAACAAAACAATAAACCCTAGTTTCCAACACTGCCTGGAAAATGTGTGTAACAAATATCTAGAAACGTTTTACAGCAACATGGCTGCAATTCTAACCTCTCTAATTGCTGTAACCTCAGCATGAGCAGTAGGATCCGTGTGCTTCAAAACCATATTGTGACAGCTTACCACTACTTCATCATCACAAACAATAACTGCACCAAATGGACCTCCATCCCCACATTCTACCCCTCTGTAAGCTTCTTCAACTGCTCTAGTCAGGAATTTGTGATCTCTATCCTGAACAGCTGTGACCATTACAAATGCATATAAGAATATTAATCATCGATTTTTTATGTCTATAATTTCTGGAAACCCTGAGTCTATCCTGCATGAACACCCAACCAAATATATAATCATCTGTTACAAAGAAATCAAAGAAATAACATGCCATCCTATTTTGTGTTATAGAGTTTCTCCGTGTTACCTAATAGTCAAGTTACTGAAGTTTCTAGATTCCAGTTGTACAACTCATTATGTAAGTGGGTGAGGTGAATGTTTTGCTGCATAAACATGTAACAATAAATACCCTCACTGATAGAACTAATTCCGGAAAAAATGATGTGTAAAGTGTAAGATGATACTCACTGATAGTGCTTGCTTAATTTTGGTGCATAGTCGGTTGACAAGATCAAAATGTGATGCATGGTGCATTTCATTAGCTCATGAATCATGATATTATTATAATTTTATTTCAAAACTTTATTCTATAGTGTGAAAGAAGAAGAAAAAATGTTTCCTAGCTTCCAACTTCTATTTTATTCAAGCTATTTCATTAGTTTTGTATGTACGAAATCGGGGAGTGATTTTCTGGAGCAAGACTCTTTTCACGGTAGCCAATCTAAAACAAGTGCAGAATAAAGGATACAGGATACTAATTAGATTAAATACACCAAATGGTGCCTCTTTCGCTCATGGCAGGTGTCACTAACCAAGTCATTTCACATTATAGGATACATAATGAAAAAGTACGGTGGTAAATCAAAAGAAAAGCGAACTCAAATAAAAATGAAGAACAGAAGTCAAGATATTCAAGACGAGAATGGAAGAAAACAAATCAAATGGACTTAGAAAACCTTATCCTGAGTATGTTTCAGGTTAACTACATAAATTGTTTCTCCCCCCCTCTACAAAATCAAGCACCAGCTTCTTTAAAATTCTTCACCTATATAGTATAAATTTATTTTCATACTTGTTATTAATTTTTCTTGTTGAAAAATCTTTTGAATAATGGTACCCATTTGTTATTTAATAATAGCTTGATTTACAAATATATAATATTTTTGAGAAAAAAAGAAAAATGACTATGGTAGAGTGCTGAGAAGTGCTGGTATCTAACTACAAGACACGAATACACCACCCTAGTTGAAGTGTCCCTGCAACATAGTTAACATAAAGTTGCTGTCTTTGTAACCATCCATTCAGTGCCTTTTGGCCTTCCTTTTTCCTTAGCGATACCACTAATAGTTATCTTATTACTTCTTCCTCTGTGCACATTATCTGGTCTCTGTTTAAAGGTGCCCAGAGGGCATAAATGACATATAATACTATGTTATTGATGTACTCTGTAAAGGAGATTTTACCCCTTTCACATATGGACTAGTTTCTTATTTTATCTTCTGCCGATTAGAAATTTTATGGACTCCGCTGAATGTGAGGTTTACATACAACAAAATTCCACTAATTTGAACCTCAAAAAGGCATTTTAACGGCTATGCATATGGACTTCAAATAAATGATGCTGCAAACAGTTGTCAAATATTTTGTTCTGCTCAAACCAAAAAAAAGGAAAGACCATTTGTAAACAAGGAACTGATATACCTTGCTGGTACCCAGCAAATGCAGAAGCAACGGAAATAGTTCCATCATTAGCTTCAACGACTAATAAACAAAGAAAGGAGAGTCAGCAAATGACATCAAACTTGTAAGTAATGTATGGAGTTCATGTACAACGTTTTAGATGGCGAAATTGCACTATAATAAAAATTTTCCAGAATACAGCGATCAGCTAAATAAAAGTAAATGGATTAAGGTAGAAACTATAATTGCTTGCCACGGACAAGTTTCGGATGTAAGTCATGCAGTCTTGAGGTGTATTAAAAAATGTATCTGAATTCTGATAATGCAAATAAGTTATATAGCCATAGTTATCATCCCAGAAAAGCCATTGGGAACATAGCATTATATGGCAGGTAAAATGGCCATATCCTCCTACTCCAATAGCTCTAGGCTTCTAGCTATGGTTAATTACTCATCCAAGATCCACAATGGAGCCTGAAGTGAGTATATTGTAGCATCTTGGATTAGCCATTGGAACAATCAAATTATCAGATCAATTACCCACCACCATCCAGTTTCTTTAAATCTCACAAGTCACCAACTGTAAGATATCTAACTAAACTGAAGCTAAGTCCGTGGCAATCGCCTACATTGTAGTGTTTGACAAGTTATATCAAGTAATTAAGTAAGATCCATAGTGAAATTATGAATTAAAGCAAAAGTGACTTTCTGATTGCGATTTTATGAAGCCAAATTCTATTAACTAGCATATCATAACTAATGAGAAATTCTTCCCAAGGAGTTGAAGAACTTGAAATAAGTCCACTTAGTTTAATGGATTTCTACGCATTCGTTGATCTGGATTATTCCACTGCTAATCCAATAACAAATTAAGCAGATTATAAGGCGTTCCATATCAGCAACTAATCACGAACATAAACATTCCACAGAAAACACAAAATAAATTCAATAAAAAAAAAAAAAATTGATACCGCAAATGTATACGTTCACACAACAATCATAAACTACTAAACAGTTCAAAGTTTACAAACGGTTTACCATTGGCGTCTTCCATGATTGACAAGGAATTGATTAAAAACGAAGAATGAATTTAGATGAGAAAACAGAATTAAAGACGTGAAAGCGTTAAATGTACGTAAATGCAGAAACTGAAACCGGTGGCTGAGAAAGTGCAGAGAAAACGAAAGGGTTATATTGACAAATTGGAATCTCTCTTAGATCCTTACGTGGCACTTTGATCTACAATTGGGTAAGGGACAGTCTACACCGCTCAACCCAAAAGGCAAAAGGTAATAGGCAGAGGGAAAATGCCACTTGTACTGTCTTTTGTTGACCTTGCAAGGGTTGATAAGCGTTGATTGAATGAAAAAATTGTCAAATAATATGTTGCCACGTGGCAAAATGTAAAAAAATATGGAAATGATGATATAAGTTTTTGTGTCAAAATGGGTGGGCTGCCAACCAACAAAGAACTCCAAATACTAGTCAATTAGCGCTTAATTGATCTCAAATTTCTTGTATTTTATTATATAAATAAAGATAAAGCTACTTGTACATAATTTCATGTACATAAGAGTGTCCACTGTGGACACTCTTATGTACATGAAATATGTACAAGTAGCATAGTCCTATAAATAAATGGCATTATTTGCGCAACTCTAATGAATTTTATGAATAAAAATTTGTTCGAGTTAAAAGACTTAAAGTCTACTCGATAGAGCTTCTGAATCTAAAATGAACTCGATTTTTTTTTCTGTTTTTTTCCGTCTTGTTACCTTGGTGGAGGCTTGTCCAACTAATACGAATTCTAAGTTATTTATAATTACGCTAAAAATGCTCTTAGTGTCTCGTCTTGTACATGTCACATCTCTTCTATAAATATTACATATACGCATTATTCAAGTTAAAATGAATTTAGAAAATAAATTCAATATATAGCTTTTGTTTGGTGAAAATTAAAATAATATTTTAATAAAAGTTGATGAAATATGTGATTGAAAAGTTATGAATCCCATAAAATGTGATTAAAATTAATTATTGACTTTGATTTAGTTTAAATCTAAATTTTGATCCCTACGTCCAAATACGGCATATTAACTCTATAGTAACAAGTAATTCATTAAAAAGTTACTCAAATGATTTAACTATTTTTTTTTCTTAAAGAAAACAATGATTTAACTATTAGATATTACAATTTTATTAGTTTATTATCTAATTTAAATTAAAAAAAAATTACTAGTATATAAAAAATCAAAGTTTCAAAAAATATTTAATTTAATAAAATTAAATTTAGATAAGCCTTGTCTTAGCCTTAAAATGTTATTTATATTAATATGTAATATTCGAATAATGAATAAATGAATCGTGATAATGCTAAAATCATCGTGACCATAGACCTCAAGTCTTATTCCTAATCAATCGAGTTCAATTGTAATCAAACTAGACCTTATTATCTATGAAGAATCGTCGATTTTATATCCCACAAGTCTACGGATCCTAATCAAAAATAAAGTGGACGCAAGAGCCCGAATTATCATTCCCACGAGGACTACTATACTTCAATTTGATTCAACTCCTGTTTGGTACACATTTTTGCTCTAATAATGCATTTTTTGGTTGATATGATGTGAAATATGTGGTTGAAAAAAAAAAGTTATTAATGTGATGGAAAATATTATTTTATTGAAAAACGTGTTGTTGAAAATGAGTAGAAGAATGAAAATGAAATTTTAGTATGTACCATACAGGGGCTTAATATGATTTTCATCTTCACCAAACAGGGTTTGCATTTTTACTGTTGATGTGGTGGGGAATATGTAGTTGAAAAAGAATGAAAAGTTATTCAGGTGATTGAAAATATTATTTTATTGAAGAATGTGGTTAAAAATGAGTAGAAGAATGAGAATAAAAAAAATAATGTGGTTCAAACGGGGACTTAAAACAAATAGAAATAGTTTTTTATTATTTTTTTTGTGTTTTTTATTTTAAATACACAAACAATAAAAGTGAATTTTTTTTAATATGAAGATTTAAGTGTTAGGATTCATGACTTCAATCACCAATTTTAAAACAATTAATTATGTGTACTCGGTCGAATTCTTCTAACGTATTCAATTTATGTCTCTCGAGTTTAAATTGATTCTATTTAACTAAGTTAATTACATAAATCTATGTAAATCTAAATAAATTTTAATTAAATGCCTTAAAACTCTAAAAATCCATGTATCGACCGTATTAATTAGAAAACATATTTCTAAATTTTTATACAAAGTACCGAATTTTATCATTTGGTCTAAACAAGAAATCCATCTCTCGAAGTAATTATCGCTCCCGAATCAATAAATTAGTGGTCAATTAATTCAAAGAATTAAAAATATAAGTAAAAAATAATTGTTGATGATTAGCTATCGAAGCATCATCAATGGTTGCCAATGAGATTACAGATAACACTGACGAATGCACATTGGTGAAATGTCTGTGATTATTTTATTTACTTAATTTCTTTTTAAGATTATTCTTAGAAATGTCACCGTAAAGATCTTGTATAAAGCATCAAGTTGATTGAGTCGTATCTGCCTGCTTATAATAAATTACGCACACACAACTACAATTAAGGATTTAAGGAAGGGTAATTATATTCACACCACGATTTTTATTTCTTACACCACAATTTAATTACATTTAAGATTTTTATTTTTTCCTCATTATAGTACTTATGTCTCCAACCATTTTTCATTACATTTTTATCCTCAAACTTTCGATTAATTAATACATTTTGTGTTTGATAACATTTTTATGTTCAAAAGTTCGTTGAAATGGTGCAAATCAACTTATTTTCCATCATACTTAAAAAAAATAAAAAAAATTCCTCATATTTCAAAGCATAAAAACAAAATATTTTGATATAAATCATCATTAAGAACGAGATAGTACTAATTAATGGAAGGTTGAAGATAAAAACTCAACGAAAAAAATTAAGGAAATAATTGCTACAATGAGCAAAGATTGAGAAACTTAACTACAGTTAAAATGTGGTGTACAAAATAAAAATCGTGGTGGCAATATAACCGCCATTTATGAGACCACGATTTCCGTCTTTAACAATGATATATAGAAATAACGAAGCTTTTAGCTTCCAAAAATAAAAATAACCTTTTGGTGAAAAACGGATGCAAATTCTATTGGTAACTACGGCAAAATATTTTGTCACTCAATATTGGTTGCTAAACGGACCTTTTTATTTAGTGACGAGTTTTAGAAAAAAAACTCCTAAACCTTCCATAATCTTTTATTGGTGTTGTATAAGCTCTCATTATCAATTTTTCTAACTTAGGTCCAATTCTAAATAAAGGAAAATAAAATTTGATGTAAATCTTGATGTACCACCAGTATGGTCCAAAGGTAATAGGTAAAGGGAAAATGCCACTTGCACTGACTTTTGTTGACATTGCAAGGGTTGATAAGCGTTGATTGGATGAAAAAATTGTCAAATAATAAGTTGTCACGTGACAAAATGTAAAAAAAAATGTAAATGACGAGTGGGCTGCCAACCAACAAAGAACTCCAAATACTAGTCAATTAGTGCTTAATTGATCTCAAATTTCTTGTATTTTATTATATAAATAAATGGCATTATTTGAGCAACTCTAATGAATTTTATGAACAAAAATTTGCTCGAGTTAAAAGACTTCAAGTCTACTCGATAGAGCTTCTGAATCTAGAATGAACTCGATTTTTTTTTTCATTTTTTCCCGTCTTGTTACCTTGGTGGAGACTTGTCCAACTAATACGAATTCTAAGTTATTTATAATTACGCTAAAAATGCTCTTAGTGTCTCGTCTTGTACATGTCACATCTCTTCTATAAATATTACATATACGCATTATTCGAGTTAAAATGAATTTAGAAAATAAATTCAATATATAGCTTTTGTTTGGTGAAAATTAAAATAATATTTTAATAAAAGTTGATGAAATATGTGATTGAAAAGTTATGAATCCCATAAAATGTGGTTAAAATTAATTATTGACTTTGACTTAGTTTAAATCTAAATTTTAATCCCTACCACATAGGGCATATTAACTTTATAGTAACAAGTAATTCATTAAAAAGTTACTCAAATGATTTAACTATTTTTTTCTTAAAGAAAACAATTGATTTAACTATTAGATATTACTATTTTATTAGTTTATTATCTAATTTAAATAAAAAAATTTACTAGTATATAAAAAATCAAAGTTTCAAAAAATATTTAATTTAATAAAATTAAATTTGGATAAGCCTTGTCTTAGCCTTAAAATGTTATTTATATTAATATGTAATATTCGAATAATGAATAAATGAATCGTGATAATGCTAAAATCGTCGTGACCATAGACCTCGAGTCTTATTCCTAATCAACCGAGTTCAATTGTAATCAAACTAGACCTTATTATCTACGAAGAATCGTCGATTTTATATCCCACAAGTCTACGGATCGTAATCAAAAATAAAGTCTACGGATCGTAATCAAAAATAAAGTGAGCTCGAATTATCATTCTCACGAGGACTACTATACTTCAATTTGATTCAGCCCCTATTTGGTACACATTTTTGCTCCAAGAATGCATTTTTTTTGTTGATGTAATGGGGAATATGTGGTTACAAAAAAATGAAATGTTATTGATGTGATGAAAAATATTATTTTATTGAAAAATGTGTGGTTGAAAATGAATATAAAAATGAGAATGAAAAAAATAATGTGACTCAAACGAGGGCTTAAAACAAATAGAAATAGTTTTTTTTTTATATTTTTTTGTGTTTTTTATTTTAAATACACAAACAATGAAAGTGAATTTTTTTTATATGAAGATTTAAGTGTTAGGATTCATGACTTCAATCACCAGTTTTTAAAATAATTATTTATGTGTATTCTGTCGAATTCTTCTAATGTATTCAATTTATGTCTCTTGAATTTAAATTGATTCTGTTTAACTAAGTTAATTACATAAATCTATGTAAATCTAAATAAATTTTAATTAAATGCCTTAAAACTCTAAAAATTCATGTATCGAC